TGATACCCTTCAATTGTACGCTTGTTGCTCTTGCGACAGGGCATTTAACGTGGACATTGCATCTATACAAGAAACAACTGAGAAAGGCTGTTGAACAAGTGGAACATAGCATTTAACTTAAACCTGAAAGCATCCAAGGCAAATGCAAAAGGAAAAACAAATCAGGGTTTCCCAAAAAACATCCACCACAAGTGCTGTTGGTGGAAAGGTTTGAAGAAAACAGACAGGAACCTATGCGGGATCCAACCAGAACCTCGCAGCACTCTGCCGGAACCCTGTTCGAACCCTTGCCAAACCACTTTGTATGACACTACCCTTGCAACGGCATCTACCAAAACCTTTGCCAGGACCGTTGCCGGGCTGGAAACCCTGCTAAGGCTAAAACCTTGCTGCAATTTTGCCAGAAACTAGCCTAGCGGCCTAGCAGGAACCCTTGCTGCTACACTGCGCAACACCCAAATGGTTCCCAGAAACCTTGTGAAAACGTGCCCTGAACCAATCCCAGAACCTTTTCCTGACAATATTTCCAGAACCCAAGCCCTGCTCCCAGAGAAGATCTTGCCAAAGGACATGCAAACTCTAGAGATCTCTAGAGTGACTGAGTCCTTTGTCACATCTGACACAAACATCCAAACTGCTGTGCAGTCAGTCTTTGTCCCACTGTCACACTTTGCAGGCTTTCTCCCCTACGTGCCAGGCTCTCAGCTTCGCATTTCGCAAGTTTCATGAACTCTTCCTGATATGCTAGGACCTACCTGGGGACCTACCTGCGGACCTACCTGGGGACCTACCTGGGGACCTACCTGGGGACCTACCTGGTAGGACATGTAGCATATCTAAGGCTTACGGCTTACAACACAATGACGGCGTGGCGCATCCTTTGCTTCAGAGACACATGCGCACAGCCAGGGCAGCCATGGCTAAATGCACACACAGCGCTGCATTTCGGCGCCGTGTGGACATGGCGAAGGCGTCACTCTTTTGGCTGCATGAACATTTCCGGCGCAGCGTCTCAAAGGAATCCGCAGCGTCTCAAAGGAATCCAGAGCAAAGAGAAAATGTAAAAATGTCCCATAATTATATAACCCGTGCATGTGCCCAACTCTAGCTAGCCAAGTTTGCAGCTTTTTCTATGAAGGTTTACAGCTGAATCTCTTGGGGTAATAATAGTGATACGGGTCTTGCAAGGGTGGAAATTGAAGCTAGCTCAGTTAGGCTGTGGCATCTGTGGCTTTCCAGCATTGATGAAAGGGCTCGGCTAATATTTCGCTCGACTCGTCATCTCAAACTCACATTGCCATCGATTCACGATTTCGGGGCAAAACCCACCCAAACCTGACTGGAAGACACATATAACATCTACTTGATCCTTCGAAGGGTCAACTGAGCGCGCGGTAAAAGTTGCAAAGGAAAAGTTCGCGTCAGTGAATGGAGTCTGAATAAGTCTGAATAAGTCTGAATAAGTCTGAGTGTGGGTAGTCATTGAGTCAGTCTCACCACGTACCTCACTGCTCCAGCTATCTCGAAGCTCCACCTGGCAGCAGCGCAGCACTGCCTTACCTCTCTTTGTTCCATCTCTTCGTGGATTTCTTTCGGATAAAGCCTAATGAGTAGTAAAAACACGTTTAAAAAAAATGCTAGTGACTCACAGTGACTCCTTTCGGAAGCCAGTGCAAAAGTTTGCCATCAGAAATAGCGTATAGTCACAAAAAGACGAAAGGGCTGCGGCCACGAACGGTTCAAGAGATGCACCAGGAGGACGGAACAACTTTAAGCCTTGTGGGGAGACAGCTCTCATAAATCATACCAGAATATATCCAGAATAGACAGCATAGATAATTGATGATAATTGTAGCTGTGATTATTGCTGATTGTAATTGATTGTAATTGATTGCAGATGTCAGGAAAAGGCATTTCTAGTTGCTTTGAACTGCACACATCGGATTGCCACAGTGGATATCGGATTGGCGGCGCAATGGATTGAATAAGAAGACTTCAACAAACGGGCAAGGATTCGCGATCCCATTTGGAATACCCAATTATATATATGACCAGTGCCCAAACGGGAAGGCAAGCTTGCAAAGGTGTAAAACACTAGCAACCAGCATTTGTCCTCAAAGACAGACACACAGCTACAAGCAAGTCTTCTTGTTGGTGTAAAGTACAACACTTTTCCTTTCGGAAAAACTGGAGAAAACCATATAAAGAAACTAGAGATAGAGAGAGAGAGAGAGATCCGCAACATTTGATGCGCGTGACAGCAAAACCGTAGGTGATTCCAGGACTTTACAAGTTGCAGCCATGGTCTTTCTGTCATATGGTTCATATCGGTCGTTGCTGGGACAGTCAAAGCCGTTAGGGTCAAATCAGCACACATGCATTTTCCACATGGCGGCTTGTTTCATCATATGTGCCATGTGGATGTGATATGTCATGCATGTTCAAAGTCACAAATCAATGTTCTATATATTACGCTATGCTGTGCACATCCGTACATTCATTATTATGACTCTTATGACACTTATGACATGACATCAGCAAATGACATGACTCTCTCTCTCTCTCTCTCTCTGTTCCTCTGCCTCCTCCGCCTTGCCCTTCGCAAGTGGAGGTAGAGCAGTGCGGAGCAGCTTCAAGGCCTTGACTGAGGCGTCCAAAGAGAGAAAGAAAGAGAGAGAGAGAGAGAGAGAGAGAGATGCACATCACCTACACCACCTATACCGTCTACATCATCTACATCATCTACACCGATGCATGCCAACAGTTACCAACACACCAGGATACCCAAGGCTTCCGAGATGCAAAGAGAATTAGATAATTAGATGAAGAATCGCCTTCTGTGACATGTTTATGGAACAGAATGCTGGAAATCGAATCATGATGAATCGTTGAAAGGAATCACCGTTTTTTATCGTTCAGAGCCGATTCAAAAGCTGCGAGTCTTTTCTCGAAGGCTCAGGTTCTGGGGGCTCCTGCCCTGCGTGCATCTCGGAGATCTCGCTCATCTGCGCTGGGCGCAAAGGTGTCTGGAAGCTTCTCCTCCCGTAGATCGCAATGCAGCTGAAAGACTCTGCAAGACTTGATGCTGAGAATTTTGCAAACAAAGCGGAACAAACAATCAGAATCATAAGAAGAGCAGCACACCCACCACTGCTGCTTATCGTATTTAGACATTTTGATCAAACACCGCACCATACTGTTTTTTGATGAATCAAATGCCAGTTGTACATACTTAGCTGAACATGATATATATATATATATATATATATTATATCGGCAACCACATCCACATCTCAGACATGGAGCTGTGATCTCTAACTGCAAGTCTCTCTGAAATACCCAATTGGTGCTTCCAAAATGGGAGCCCCGAGGCACTGCAATGAACGTGCAGAGGGGGAAAAGAAAACTGACAGTTGCTATGGTAGCAAAGCCAGGAGTAAGAGGCAGAAGGCCAACCAGACAACACGACGTTTGACGAGGGGAAGCTGGCTGCCCTGCCAAAAAAGACCCGAGCTAAGGTGGAAGGGTTCTAATCACGAAGCGGAACGGGAGAAAATCACGCCAATGTGAAACCGGCAGGCCGCATCATCGTCATTGGTCTCTATGGCTCTCCGGGCTTTGGGGTGTGATGAGAAACCAAATGTCAAAGCCGAAAAGGTCAAGGCTCGGCCAAGGATGGCACACTGTCAGAGGACTCAGCGAGCCGTCGGAGGACGGCCCGCGCGTTCTCACGTTGCAGGGCAACAGACAAAGCTTGGAAAAGCTGTTCGGCCCCATCACTCGCAGACATCCCAAGTCGAGAAGCGTGCAAAGCGCCCAGTTTTCGGAAGGTGGCAACGGCGGTCGGGCCCCACCCGCCGCCGCAGGCTTCCATATATATTGGAGTGTGGCTTTGCAGTATTTGAATATATTTGATATATCTTTGATCTATTTGATTAAATGCACCAAACCATTCACTGGAATTGTTAAGGATCGGTCTCTCACCTCCCCAAGATAATCTGATTGAAATCCGTTCGGAAAGATTCTGCGGGATTGGCCACTCCAGCTCTGAAAACATGGCAGTTCCAAGGAATGTGCCGCAATGTGCTCAGTACATCTCAGTACCCCACATCAGTTGTGTCTGGGCCACCTCAAAACCAGAGCGACACAATGCAGCAAAATGTGTCACTGTGGGCCACTGGGTCATGTCGGTCATGTTGCTGTTGCCTTGTTGAAGGTCATTGTCAGTGTGTTTGTGGGCTCCTGAGACAACTGAGCTCTCCACAACTTGCTCGCACCGTCATGGCCTGTGGAGCCGAGATGCAAAAGAAGCCTATCAACGGTCTCGAAACCCAAAAGCCGTGGATTGAATATGTTCTAGATTTATTATGATTTATTAGGATTTATTATGATTTATTTCACTTCAATTTATTTCCACCATTTTCCGCCAAGTGATCTCAAATATCGCAATTCGAGAAGCTGTCTGTACGGTTTCCACAGGCACTGATAACAGATAAATATCGAAACGAATTCGATTATACGTCCTGTCGATTGAACTGTGGAACTAGCAAAAGGATGCAAAAGGTATGATGCGCTACACATGACTGCAGTACACTGCATGTGTTTGACAAATACACCAACTGTACCAATCCGTTGTGCTCAAGCCATCCTGTGGCAGAGTTGCTTCATGCATCCTGATCCGGAGACGAGAAAGGCTTCCCTGCTAGTGGCAGGTTTCCCCCTTCCTTGTGTGCCAATTATCTTCAGCTGACAACGGCTGCTGAAGAAGGTGGCATCTAGACATATTTCTCACATTTATGTTGCTTCACGACGCGTGCATCGCGCATTTGATTGAAGGGCCATTTGGTGCTGAATACTTCTGGTGTTGTGTCCTATTATTCACACTTGCAAAGACTGTATCCGCTTGCAGGTCATTGCAAGCCCATGTTAAGGCTGTCATACACCATTTCTGGGCATGTTGCGCCTACGTTACTTCGAGCATGCTGTGAGCCGATCTCAAGCTATTTGGTGGCAGTTTGCAGGTCGTTGCTGGCCTCCACGACGCTACATTGCAGTTTTGAAGGCATATGTAGTGCTGGCGCATTTCTCATGTAGAGGGCGGCATTTCCTTTCGCTCCTTTCGCTCCTTTCGCTCCTTCCGCTCCTTTCGCTCCTCTCATTTTTTCAGTTCCCATTTCCCGGACTGTCCCCCTACTATATATCTGCCCCTGACCGCTGCCCAGGGCCTTGCGATTGCCTCCTACTAGCCAACCATCGAACTCCCTCCGTGGATGTTTGGTAATCTCCTGGCATCAATGGATTCTGTGCATCATGACTGTGGTCAGTATGAAGTTCGGAGTTTTCTCTTTGCACTTTGTGAACCATTGGCATCCGGTAGCATCCGGCGATGCCTCACCGCTTTGTAAGGACATGCCCACGTACAAACCACCAGAGCCCGCAGGAGCTGCAGTGATCTCGTCAACCTGCACGACAATCACGAATCATCCGATCGGACGGAGCATTTTCAAAAAGCGAAATGGATTCTCTATGATTCTAAAAGATTTCTGAGGCATCTGAAGTGCAAGTCTTACTTGGCGTTGCAAGAAAGAATGACACAGAAGAAAGCAACCAAGATGGGAAAACTGTAGCAATGTGTATCAATTTTGAATAAGACTTTGCTTGCTAACCTTCGAAATTCTGAGAAAGGCAGCATGTTGCACCTCCAGCTCGTAGTAGGAAGAGAAGCAACCTGCAGATGACGCAGCGAAACAAGTGTGCGCTGCAAGTGGTTCTTGCCAGTCACAGCTTGTAATCGTCAGTAGATATTGATGATATTTGATGATATTGATGATATTGCAGAGAACATATTTTTTGGTGAAGGAAATGATCTCTGCGCACCTGGTGTACCGAAATGTCTGCAAGGGCCATCTCCTGACAAAAACCGTGGCAGTGAACACTACTCTTTCTCTGCCAACAGATCTGCAGGTAAAAAAAAAGACTTAAGGACCTACAAGAATTCCATCATGGTTCTTGATTTTGAAAGCATGTGCCGTGTCCCTCGAAACGAACCTGTAAAGGTCACTTTAAGCACAAAAAGAAAGGTAGGAAAAGTCTAAGAAAAAGTATGAAACATGTTAAAAAATGTTAAAAGATGTTAAAAGTCTAGCAAAGTGAGATGGTGATGAGAGAAACCACAGTTGTGGCGTCGTAAACCCTGCCTATGGCCAAACCTTCGTCGTTGCCGATGACCTGGCACAGCAAACACTGATGCAATACTACGTACATTAGTCATTAAACTCATTAAACTATAATATTGCATAAGATTGCATAAGTTTGCATAAGTTTGCATAATGGCATAAGATTGCATGAGTTTGTAGAATATTGCAAGTAATATGAGCAATCTGTAAGTATCGATCTGCAAGTATTGATCGGTAAGTATCTGTAAGTAACGCTGTGAAAATAGTTATGCTCTGACAATGCTCGATGTGTCATGAGTCCAAGCCGGAAAGACAACTCCTGTGGCAGCCAGGAAACCTCGGCCTGACAAAATGCTCGAAGAAGGAAAAAAAAAACAAAAAAAAACAGAAAAAACATAATTCCATTGCATTTCGTCATTTCGGTCTCCAAAAACACACAGCCATAGCAGACACAGCAGACACACAGCAGACACATGTCACAAAGATTCACGAAGTATACAAAGTGCACCCACCTACTGCAATAGACAGGTCGGAGGAGAGCTGCACATCCTCACCCTGGCAAAATACGATGAACACCGATAACTATAAACGAAATTAAGCGAACATGTTTGTGACAAAAACAAGCAAAAACCATATCCAACTGGAGCTTTTTGTAGAGCACCGCATCGCACGGTCCTTGGCAGTTCTGTGCCAGTTGCGGAAGTAGAGGATGCCTGGGGCAAACCTCGGATGTGCTGCAGAGCTGTCAGCATTCTGCAGGTCTGATCGGGTCTGTGGGTTGCCCACACTGTTCGAGTCAGTTCCACCAGTCCGTTCCACTGTTCGAGATTGTTCGAGTGCTCCGTTGAGAAACGTCTCCACTCTCGGGGGAATCCTCCCCCTTGAAGCTTCATGAATTGCCTGACCAATTGTCTAGAAGCATCTAGAAACCAAGATGAGAGTTGACAAATATGAGTGTAGTTTTTGAAGTATTCAAAATGGGGCCGTATAGGGGCTAAGGCTGTAAGTTTGGGTTGCATTCCTTTGGAAGACAAAACCCAAAATACTTCTCTGTGTGCCTGTCCCAAAACGGCCATTCCTTCCGTAAGCCATTCTTCGCTCAACGCAAGAGACCAGATGCATCTAAAATCCGTTGCTAAAAGTATTGGCCAAGTTGCAGCTAAACTCAGAGACCAAATGTGACCAAATGCAAAGAGCTAAACCGCAAAGAGACTCAAAAGCTCAGCTGCAAAATCCTAACCTTGGCACAACCCATCTCTGTGAACAGCTAAGGATAGCTAAGGGCAAAACCCGACCCATCTCTCACTCGCACTACCCTCCAGGCTCAGCACCCGCGTGCTAACCTGACAATGGTAGGTAGGTGTGGAATATCTGGAGACCTCTGGAAATGACTGGAAATGCGCGGTTGATTCATGTTGGTTACAGTAACATTTATTAGTGCATTGGGAATCGCAGTGATAAGGCAAAATGCACGGGGAAAAGATGGCAAGATAGATGGAAGGGAGGATGAGAAAGGGTGCATCTAAATTATCCTTCTATTCTGTATCGCAGACTTTAGCCTTGTACGGTAAGTTGTACCTATTTTACTCCGTGATGCAGGCAAGGCAAGCTGAGGGGAAGTTGCCGGCCTTGGTCAGCATAGAGAGCTCTATGCAATTGTTCCAATATATTCTCTATCAGACAGATTCGAAATTGAAAACATGGAGAACACAGTTTGAAGAGAGAAAGACTTTGAGAGTTTTTTGCAACCAAGAGAGCCGTGCACTGCATGCATAGTGGTACTGAGAAAGGCAAGTACGCTGAAGAAGAACAGAAAACTAGACTTCAAAGAATGCGGCAGAAATGAAAGACCACCATATACATGTACATGAAAATAAACTTTAACAAAAGACTGAACCATCCCAAACATTCTCAAACCATATCAGTACCCTTGGCCTGACCTGGAAGTTGTCATGTCGCAGATGCTCGTTGTCTTCTCTGACCTGCTTTGGGTCACAAACTCAATAGAAAAATATGGAAAGTAGAAAGACCTAAAATGTTGAAATCTCAAACTCCGCTGGTGAAACAACCAGATCCAGGCCTGTCCAATTAACACCCGCATCTCTTCATTCTCCTGAGAGGTCCGTTCCCTTGACTCGACACACTCAGACAGACTCTGCAACAAAATTCTGCAACGTCAGCGAAAGGCTCTGCAAGAGGCGACAATTGTTCTTACAAACTTCACAAACCATGGAACAAATCGAAGAAATAATCGACGAAATCGCAAATAATTGAAGAAAATGTTCCTGCAAATCGAACACAGTGCGAATGCCAATCATCTCCTCCACTACACCCAGAGTGCGATTGGCCAGGCGCTGATGCTCTTCCTTGCAGTGCCATGTGTGCCCTGGATGCCCAAGGTACCCCACGTGCCCCTCAAGAAACGTTTTTCTGGTCTTTGCTATATGTTTTGCCATGTTTTGCTCGATTTCATCCCGCTTTAGTCGCCATGCTCCTATCCTGCTGCGAGGGGTGTAAAATATCCGCCGACCCCGCTTGCAGCAGTAGGAGCGCGTCAGAGGAGAAATTACAAGCAGCAAGGAGCAAGAAGCAAGAAGTGAGGAACCGAAGGAGCAAGAAGCACGTGGCGAGAGGTCCGTTTTGGAGGCCTGAGAGGCGCAAGCAGCAAGGAGCAAGAAGCAAGAAGTGAGGAACCGAAGGAGCAAGAAGCAAGCGGCGAGGGGTCCGTTTTGGAGGCTTGTTTGGAGCTAGTTTCTAGTGTATTCAAAAAGCGACGTTAAGCACCAGCAGCGGCAGGCCGAGGTCACAATCCGTCCGTCAGAGCCATGCTGTTTTCGTGTGCAGAAAGCGACAATAGGCACCAGCAGCGGCAGGCCGAGGTCACATCCGTCCTCAGTGCCATGCTTTTTTGGTGTGGCGATGGGTCCGTTCTAGAGGCCTGAGAGCTGCAGTTTGGAGCTGGTTTCTAGTCGATTCAGAAAGCGACGTTAAGCACCTGAAGCGGCAGTCCGAAGTCACAATCCGTCCTTCAATGCCGTCCGTTTTGAAGGCCTGAAAGCTGTAGTTTGGAGGCCTGAGGTCACAATCCGCCCTTCAGTGCCATGCTGTGCCGGTGTGGAAAGGGGTCCGTGTTGGAGGCCTGAGAGCTACAGTTTGGAGCTAGTTTCTAGTCGATTCAGAAAGCGACGATAGGCACCACCAGCAGCAGGCCGAGGTCGCAATCCGTCCTTCAATGCCATCCTGTTTCGGTGTGGCGAGGGGTCCGTTTTGGAGGCTTGAGAGCTACAGTTTGGAGCCAATTTCTAGTCGATTCAGAAAGCGACAATAGGCACCAGCAGCGGCAGGCCGAGGTCACAATCCGCCCTTCAGTGCCATGCTGTTTCGGTGTGGCGAGGGGTCCGCTTTAGAGGCCTGAGAGGAGCTGCAGCTTGGAGCTAGTTTCTAATCGATTCAGAAAACGACGTTAGACACCAGCAGCGGCAGGCCGAGGTCACAATCCGCCCTTCAGTGCCATGCTGTTTTGGTGTGGCGAGGGATCCGTTCGAGAAGCCTGAGAGCTGCAGCTTGGAGCTCATTTCTACTTGATTCAGAAAGCGACTTTAGGCACCAGCAGCCGCAGACCGAGGTCACAATCCGCGCTTCAGTGCCATGCTGTTTTGGTGTGGCGAGGGATCCGTCTGAGAGGCCTGAGAGCTGCAATTTGGAGCTACAGTAGTTTCTAGTCGATTCAGAAAGCGACTTTAGGCACCAGCAGCCGCAGACCGAGGTCACAATCCGTCCTTCGGTGCCATGCTGTTTCGGTGTGGCAAGAGGTCCGTTTTGGGGCCAGACATGGCTATGTTTGCCATCTTTCTTGGTGGCAAATGAAAGAGCATTCAATGCAGTGTGGAACCCCGCAATTCTTTCGGATTTCAAGGTTCGGAGGCTCCACCTTTCCCGCCCTTACAAGCTCCCGGAGTTGCATCTGGAATGCACCAGCACGGCTCCACCCCATTAATTTAATGACCAGGATACAGCCACAAATCCCTGGGCAAACTCACGAACTCCTTCGAGAGCGGCCACCGACAGGCCATGCACGTGCGTGCCTTGCGAGCTCTCCCAAATGCAGCAACTCCCGTGCCCAGCAATAGTTTTCTCCTCACCAAGCGCTGCCTGCTGACACTAGCTCCCGCCCGAATCTCACAGCATGTTGCTCTCCACCTTTCCCACACCTCCCTTCCTTCCTGCCAAGCAGCTCCCCCTTCCGCAGCATGCTCCCTCCGATGGTCTTGCCACACAAGCCGCACGCACGGGGCATGGCTGCGGGTTGCGTTCTTTCGCCGCACTGTCAATCTGTCTATGATTGCTATGTCTGCACCTGGTCCCATACGGCAGGCTTTAGTTGTCAGTTGCATGACTGGCTTCTGTGGTCTGATGTGGTATGATTCCTGGCACTTGCGGAGGTATGTCGCTGAGTGGACCACAGTTGAAATTCTCCCAACAAACGATCGCAAAGCTTGAAAGCGCGTCAAATCCGCTTCATATCCTAAGATCCTGAGAAATCAAAATATCTTCGAAACTGTGCTTTACTCAGAAAGATCAACTCATAATACAGGAAGAATTTAACCAATCATGGGGTCGGCGGCAGAGGGCGGAGTAAAAAGCAGTGTTCATGCTTTGATAGCACGGTTTGTTTGAGTCCTGACAACATGCCAAGAGGAAGAAAAAAACACTGAAAGGCAAAGTCAAAATGTAAGAACAAGTAGTAAATTCCTAAGCAAAATAACTAGTAGACGCGTCTTCCTGGTCTAAGCACAGAACCATGAGCAATCGCAAATCATCCGCAACAAGTTGCATGCGCTCGTTGAGAATCTCAGGGCAACACGGCATTTCACGTGAGCACATGTAGACATGGGCGACGCAAGAGAAGCACTAATGAATTTGGCATCTAAGCGAATCTGAGCCAAAGCCATTCTGCTATACACCGATTAATTCTGCGTCCCATCCCTCTGACTTTGTTCGGCCTGCTGATCTCGCCGAACATCAGCATCTGCTTCGATGCAAACGTCGATTTTGCCCATGATGTACCTGCAGACGCACTGCCACGACTAATCTGTTTCCATGCGTTTTCCAACTCGCAGGACTTCGAAGGAACTTTCACTTGATCGCAAAACTAAGCTTGGCACTTCTGAAGATCCTTCAGATCCTGATTGCGTTTGTTATCTGCGACCAACTTTCCCACATTTGCCGAGTTGCAGCCTTGCACTTTGCAAATTCAAAAGCAACCTCTTCGGTACATTTGTGCGCGTGTGTTTCTCTTGGTCCAGAACATATATATATATATACACACAGGACATTTGCTTCTAGAACTCCACCCACTGCTGATAAACACACACACACGTGCTTTTTCATACATTTACACGCGTCCGGACTTGTGATTCTTGTTGATACACATGTACTATGTAAACGATCCGGTACATAGTTGAATGACATATGACATACAGACATACATATCTTCATTTTTCTGCTTACATGAATACGGTTTTGCAACCCGACTACAGGTCAAGAATGACCTCTGACGTGAATCCACAGACTAAAGATTCAAAGAATGGATTCCACGCACACCGTTCGGTAGGCACAGGGAGCAAGAGTGCAAACAACATGTTGCTATATGCTCAGTTTGGAACACAGCGTTTCATGATAGAAATTTGAAAACACACGTTTCCTAAAAAAGAACGCACCAATCCAACTAGTAGCGGGTGAAATCAATCTTCATACGAAGGGCATATGTTACTGTAATTAGTAATTTCTACATAGAATATTCATGCAAACAGAGTAACTATTGCACGCTTTTTCTGTGGATTTTGCACTTTCCATTTCAAAGTAGAAATGAATTCATAGTAGGATATACAGTATGTAACAGTATGCATATGTGTTTCCCGAAAAGGTTGGTACAGTCTGTTTTGAAGAATCCATCACAGCCAAATACCTAGTCGTACCTGTGCATGCGCAAATGGAAGTAAACACAATGTCATGATGTCATGCGTGTGTACTTGTATACATGTAAATGCACATGTACTACCGTATATTATGTATGTGCATTAATATGTATACACAGGTATCTTCATACGTTTCTATATCATTCTGAATATGTATATTATATATATATCGATCTGTTTTACATACTGTGGGATGGTGGGCATATATGTTGATAGTGGGAAACCTTGGAACAAACAACTTCACTCTCCTGATTGCAACCATCCACAATGGATCGAAGCTCTTCCTGCACCAGAATCAAAGAGCGTTGATGTTGACACTGACGACGCAGCCGGGCCTCTTTTGCATTTCGCTAAATCTTAGATCTAACTAACTCATTCCAACGTAGTCCGTTTGGACCTGAAATGTGAACCCTGCTTTTACAAACCTGACAGGTAGATTCGGTATCCTTCTAAACAGCTCTAGGTTCGGTTCGAAATCTTGCCTTGTCATTCATCCACTGCGTGTCCAGCACGTTCAGGCGGTTTACGCAATTTCGCACCTGACGCTGGGAAATATGTGACAAGCCGGAAATTCAAAGTAAGAGGGTTTTTTGGAATTATGTAATGTGTCTGTAATAATGAGTGTACAAAGGCAAGGCAAAGAGCATAGAATAAGTTTGGACGAGGTTCAGGCACATCTGGATGCCAGCAATCATATCAACATTACATCAGAATACGAAGAAGTCAAGTCTCTGTCTGTATGCATGCATTCATGCATGTATGGATGTATGTAGGTATGGCATATCATATTATATATACATATTTACATATATATAATATATAATATAATATAATATAATATAATATAATATATATATAATTATAATATATTATATTATATATATATCTGCCAACCCCCTGCCAACAGCAAGGGGAGGCGCGCTAGGGAAGAAGAGCTTTTCGGTCTCAACCATAATGTAGCAGCAGCATTTGCAGCAGAGAGCATTCAAGCAACAGCAACAGCAGAAGACTACAATGTCAGCAGCCGTAACAGCACCACCCGCAGTTGCCGATCAAGTTTTTCAAGATTTAAGTTTCACCACACGGCTTGCACGATGTTCTCTTTCTAGGGATTCAGAATGGACGTTGGGCACTTTTTCCCGAGAGCGTCTGAGCGCAGGGTTCTTCCAATAGTGGGGGTCTGTATCTCATCTTCTCATCTTCACACCTTCTCATCTTCACACCTTCTCTCACACCTTCTCATTTTCACATCTGCTCATCTTCACATCTTCTCTCACATCTTCTCTCACATCTGCTCATCTTCACATCTGCTCATCTTCACATCTGCTCATCTTCACATCTTCTCTAACATCTTCTCTCACATCTGCTCATCTTCACATCTTCTCATCTTCACATCTGCTCATCTTCACATCTGCTCTCTTCACATCTTCTCATCTTCACATCTGCTCATCTTCACATCTGCTCATCTTCACATCTGCTCATCTTCACATCTGCTCATCTTCACATCTTCTCTCACATCTTCTCTCATCTGCTCATCTTCATATCTTCTCTCACATCTTCTCTCACATCTGCTCATCTTCACATCTGCTCATCTTCACATCTTCTCTCACATCTTCTCTCACATCTCCTCTCACATCTTCTCTCGCATCTGCTCATCTTCACATCTGCTCATCTTCACATCTTCTCTCACATCTTCTCTCACATCTGCTCATCTTCACATCTGCTCATCTTCACATCTTCTCTCACATCTGCTCATCTTCACATCTGCTCCTCTTCACATCTGCTCAACTTCACACCTTCTCTCACATCTTCTCACCTTCACATCTTCTCTCCTTTCTCTCTCCTTTTTCTCTCTCTCGCCTTCTTTATCTTTCTCTCTTTAGGCCGAGGGTGGTACCGGCGGTGAGTCACGAAACGTCAACCCTTTCGCACGAAATGAGGGTCGATCGTCAAAAACTGAGGTAAAATTGCGATTTGACTTGCCCCGGAGCAACCCTTTCGCACGAAATGAGGGTCGATCGTCAAAAACTGAGGAAAAATTGCGAGTTTACTTGTGCCGGAGCAACCCTTTCGCACGAAATGAGGGTCGATCGTCAAAAACTGAGGAAAAATTGCGAGTTTACTTGTCCTGGAGCAACCCTTTCGCACGAAATGAAGGTCGATCGTCAAAAACTGAGGAAAAATTGCGAGTTTACTTGTCCCGGAGCAACCCTTTCGCACGAAATGAAGGTCGATCGTCAAAAACTGAGGAAAAATTGCGAGTTTACTTGTCCTGGAGCAACCCTTTCGCACGAAATGAAGGTCGATCGTCAAAAACTGAGGAAAAAATGCGAGTTTACTTGTCCTGGAGCAACCCTTTCGCACGAAATGAAGGTCGATCGTCAAAAACTGAAGAAAAATTGCGATTTTACTTGTCCTGGAGCAACCCTTTCGCACGAAATGAAGGGTCGATCTGTCAAAAAGCGTCTGTGTGTCAAAGCGTCTGTGTGTAAAAGCGTCTGTGTGTAAAAGTCTCTGTGTGTAAAAGCGTCTGTGTGTTAAAAGCCTCTGTGTGTAAAAGCGTCTGTGTGTCAAAGCGTCTGTGTGTAAAAGCGTCTGTGTGTAAAAGTGTCTGTGTGTAAAAGCGTCTGTGTGTAAAAGTGTTTGTGTGTGAAAGTGTTGTGCGTCTGTAAAAAGCATCTGTGTAAAAGCGTCTGTGTGTAAAAGAGTCTGTGTATAAAAGCGTCTGTGTGTAAAAGCGTCTGTGTGTAAAAGCGTCTGTGTGTAAAAGCGTCTGTGTGTAAAAGCGTCTGTGTGTAAAAGCGTCTGTGTGTAAAAGCGTCTGTGTGTAAAAGCGTCTGTGTGTAAAAGCGGCTGTGTGTAAAAGCGTCTGTGTGTAAAAGCGTCTGTGTGTAAAAGCGTCTGTGTGTAAAAGCGTCTGTGTGTAAAAGCGTCTGTGTGTAAAATGCAGTTTTTGGTGTTGTCAAAGCGTCTGTGTGTAAAAGCGTCTGTGTGTAAAAGACTGTGTGCAAAAGCGTCTGTGTGCAAAAGCGTCTGTGTGTCAAAGCGTCTGTGTGTAAAAGCGTCTGTGTGTAAAAGCGTCTGTGTGTAAAAGCTTCTGTGTGTAAAAGCCTCTGTGTGTGAAAGTGTTGTGTCTCCACCCTCAAACCTTCCTCTTCTCTAATACACACCCCACACCCCCCAACATCAAAACCCCAACAAACTCACCAATCATTATTTGTGTAAACGTGTCTGTGTGTAAAAGCGTCTGTGTGTAAAAGCGTCTGTGTGTAAAGGCGTCTGTGTGTAAAAGCGTCTGTGTGTAAAAGAACCTATGTGTAAAAAGCGTTTGTGTGTAAAAGCGTCTGTGTGTAAAAGCGTCTGTGTGTAAAAGCGTCTGTGTGTAAAAGCTTCTGTGTGTAAAAGCTTCTGCGTGTAAAAGCGTCTGTGTAAAAGCGTCTGTGTGTAAAAGTGTTTGTGTGCAAAATCGTCTGTGTGTAAAAGTGTCTGTGTGTAAAAGTCTCTGTGTGTAAAAGTCTCTGTGTGCAAAAGTCTCTGTGTGCAAAAGTCTCTGTGTGCAAAAGCGTCTCTGTGTAAAAGCGTCTGTGTGTAAAAGTCTCTGTGTGCAAAAGTCTCTGTGTGTAAAAGTCTCTGTGTGCAAAAGCGTCTGTCTGTAAAAAGTTCTGTGTATGAACAACTTTACAAAAATACGATGCAAACTATTGTCTTGTACTAGGCATATATTGTCTTGATACTACTCTTCTCGTCTGCCTATAATACATCTTTAATATATTATCTTGTAATATAGTGTCTCCATACTAACAACAGAAGACTCTGCTCCTCTACGCTCTCGGGCCATCCGTCGTCTAGTTCTTGCTATATTTTGGTTCACCTTTGGCACGGGATTATGTAGTGTGTAGGCATTTCGGGCGGCATCCCTGAGAAGACCTATTGCACATGCTCCCTAACGTCGGTTCTGTGTAGGCGTTTCGGGTCGCGTCCCTGAGGAAACCTTTTCCAAATGCTATCTAGCAAGGTTTTAACTTCACCATGCAGCTGGCAAAATGTCTTTCTAGGGATTCAGAAAAAGCGCTAGGCATTCTTTCCGAACCCTCCCCAATGGCATGTTCACACTGTTGTTGGCTAGGTTGTTGGAGCATTTCAAGCTACATTGTTGATTCTTAGTGCCTCTCCTCCACCGCCCCCACCAGGTTCTTGTAATCCACCAGTGCCACTGTTTCTGACAAACGAAAACATGGTTGCTTGGCCGCTTAGCCCGATGACACACAAGGCTGGCGCTCCTGGTTCTAATAAGTAATCATCTTTTCCGGGGTTTGCGGCAGGAGCAGCCCTTAGATATATTGTGTCATATCTAGGCTATATTGATGAGATTTAGTGAAATGTTAGGAGAAGTAACAGATAGTAATATGGTGCCATCAAGTGTCGCACCCCGAGTTTGCCTCGTCTCGCATCTGTAGTGCATTGGAGCTCAGCTCCCGTAGCTCCTGTCCATCACAAACAGACAAACATGTGCACGCCGTGTGCTCGGGTCTCACTGCAATCACTGCAAGTTGCTTTTTTGTTGTTTTTTGTCTGTGACTGTATTGCTAGAGCAAGTTTCATGTTCAACTTTTAAACATTGACTGCACCACAAACCTACTTTGACATACCTCAAAGAATTTGATTCAGAGTTGCCATGACCATGACTCTCTGATGCCTGCAAGTCAAACTGGCCAAGCTTTTCAGCAAAAGCGCGCACATCTTTCCTGAAATTGCTGGCAGGACAGGGCTGAAGAGTCCAATCTTGCCCGTGGGAACCAGGTACGAGGCCCTTCCATGCCCTACCAACATTCGATTTACAATCCGCTTCCCTACCAATACTGCACACCCTTTCTGCAGAAAACATTGCATCACTTTGCTGGTGTCTTTGGAACAACTTCCCAAATCCTTCTGCCCCAAGTCTGCTAGATCATCTTCAAGGAAATATTTTCCAACGGGACTCAGAGTTCCACCTTCAGCAAGCCAACAAGAAACTAAAGCTGATAAGTAGAAAAACAAATAGAGATCAAGCACGCAGCAAAACCATTTCTCGACCCCAACATCCTTTGAGTGTTCAGTCGTTGGCACACCAGGATACATTTAGGATACACGGGAATGCCCCTTCGCCCGCCAAAAAAATAGTTTGAACAGCCTCGCTGTGACAATCTGAATCCCAGGTGGTCTTTCTGGTCCCAAAAACATTGGTCCAATGACTTGGTTATTCTGCATTTGCTTTGCTCGATTTGCTCCTGACAATGCAAGTCATTTCATGATTCCGTGCATTGCTTGTTGGACATGATTTGGAACAGAGGGAACTAAACTACTCCAACTGATCTCCGATTCTCCGGAAATCTGAAGATCAAGAACAAGGAGCTCCGTATCGTTTTGCTTCTTCATGACAACCTGCACAGGAAGAACGCAAGGATTCTAAACAACCTGAGTGACAGCCTGAAGCCAAAGCAATCCAAAGCAAATCCCAGCTTTCCAGATCAACTCTGCATGTGCGCATGTTTCCGAATTTTCCAAGCTCAACTTGGAAAGCCTTGAACAAATTGGACACTACAGAGATGCTATAAAAATCCCCAACAAAACTTTGCCAAATCCAAATATGTCCTCCCCAGTTTGCTCTTATTTGAAATCTTATTTGCTCAAAAGTTGCGAGGTGGTGAGCTCAGGTGCTTTTACTGCGTCTACTGTACTGATTACTTCGGATACTTCGGATACCAGATCAACATGGATCAACAGAGAATACAACCAGATCAACCAGTGCAACCGGCACAACCCACCTCGATGGCAGGTCCAACTTCTTCGTAGATCGTCGATTCGCACTGATGCATGTCAACAATGAGAACAGATGAGAAAAGGCTAAAAGGGACAAGAAAAAGCAAGGGAAAAGATGCACACTGCACAAACTGCAGGACTCCAAACTGCTAAAGATTCTTGATGAGCAACCAGCTTCAACTGGGAAAGTCCCTCCTGCAAATGCGCTTTTTCGCATGTGCACGGTTGGCTCGGTTGTTTGTGACGGGAGACAGAGACGTTTCTGAGAACAGCCAACTCTCCTCTTGAGAAGAGTTTGACAGCCTCACTGCACTGCGACTTTCCGCAGGCAGAACCAAACACAAATCCTTTCCAAATCGTTTCCAAATCCGTCCAAATCCCTGCAACGCATGCAGTGGGAAACGGCTCAGTCTTTCGAACTTGGCGTGGTGGCAGTGCCGTATCGGATAGGCCTTGGGAACTTGCGCAGTCTCCCCTCTGCGGCCTCTCTTGCGGCTGGTCATGTGCTTATCTTTGAAGTGGTAGTATATTTTTTCATTAAAACTTCTTTGATATTTTCAAAGTTCAAAAAATCCGAGACATCTGCCGCTTTAGCCATTGCAATTCCATGCTGTGTCAAGTGTTAAGTGCTGGACTTCCTGAGTCCCATCCACTCCGGCAAGCCCTGCTTTCCAGCTTTTCTCTTAAGGACACGGAAGCCCTGGTCGATGTCTGGAACCTTCGCAGAAAGCTCACAGAACTCATGTCGCAACTGGTCATAACTTGTTGGATATGTTAAACGTATTCAAATGTTTACTAAACATTGTTAAACTCCATAATTACACACTTTTCACACATCACATCTCGCCATCCACATCTCGCCTCCATGGGTCCACGCGCGGCCCTTTTCTTCACAAAGGTGTCATCGTCATCCTGTCGACGGCTGTTGCTCAACCTATTCATATGGTCATATCGGGTCGTTAGCTTCGAATCTCAACATTCATCAAATTTCAAGACTTTTCTCATCCTTTCTTAAACATGTCCAAGGTCAATCTAGATGAAACTCTGTCCGCCTCAAGTATTGGGAGGAACGCCAAGCAATGGAACCTAGCTCTAAGCAGCTAGACTCGGATTTTGGGTCATTTCAATAGCCCCGACCCGGCCTCTCTCCCCACCAGCAGCGATGTGCCAGAAATCGCTCCATGTTTGAGCGATCTGCTGATAGCAACATTTAAGTTGGCCTTGGAATATTTGGAGTTTCCAAGTCAGGGGAGATGAAGAAAGTTCGTCCACAGTCCTTTGTAGAAGGATTTGAATGGATTTGAAGAGGCCCAGAGTTTCTTGATATAGTGTTCCAGAGCCAGTGTAATTTTTTTTTCTGCAATATGGAACCAACCAGGAGCTATTCCAGCATTGTAAAACTGTGTATGATATTTTCATTTACGAAATTAGAATCAAATTGTGGAACTAAATGATAGAATGAGATTTTAAGATATGTTATGCAGGTCACTTTTGGCTCGAAGACCTGGGAGAAAATTCATCAAGGTGACCTTGTGACAAATCTGCTGCATTTCTGCCAGGTCACCAATTGCCACTGCTGGTAGGCATCCTTTTGTGGGGTGTCCTCACAATCTCGCGCCATCCACATCCATGCGTTGTGGTGTTTTGATATTCATCCAAACAATAACATGCTGCTCCTATACATGTTGCATATTAGTGCTCCATATTTCTGAATTTCTAAATCAATGACTTTTCTGGAAAGGTGGGGCGCTGCTCTCTTGGTGCAGCCCACCGGACCCCACCTGCTGAACCAAACCTTCGCCACCTCGCGGAGACAGAGACCAGGCTGTCTGTGATTTGAAAACCTGAAGCCCTGCAACACGTAGCAACACGTAGCAACACGTAGCACTCATCCCGAAGCCTTCTGCTGTTTGTTTCTTTGGTACTTCTTAAACTAGTTCATTTTCATTTATTCCATTGTATCAAATTGTGTCCAATTGGCCTCTGTCTCTTTCTTGGATGTTTTTTGATTTCTGGGAAACGTGCTGATGTCTACAGCAAGACGTGGCAGGGCACCGTTCTCAGTATGCACCG